TGTACATATATACATGTATTTACTGTACTTGTAATTGTCATAAAAATGCCACAGGTTATGTGATTCTGCAATATTTTACTCTTCGTGAAGTTCATTCTTCATGTCACGTTCTTTAACATAATGTTCTTGTCAGATCCACATCCTATAGTTTCTCTAGAGCAATCATACAAGGAATCTATTTATTAGTGGAATCATCATGTACTATATGTTCGGTAGCTACTACTGCTACAATGACTTTCATAGCTTCGTGATACCAAGGATCCAGATATTCGTGAACACAGTAGCTCTCTAGATATGGTAAGATCATTTGTCCCCATTCCATATTGCTGACCCAAACGATGTTTAACAGTTGTACTCCTGCAGTGTTGTTAATAAGTTATTATACTGACACATAAAAGATTAACTACTTACTAACAGTGTCATTAATGCTTGACAAATACTGCATCTACAAGCAGTTACTTCTTTGTCATACAGTAAAGTCAAGAGCCATCAGAGTACAACAAGCACAAGATATCATATTTTACTCCACCCTTCTAATATGACAGTACTTCTTTAATTCCACTATCATTAGCATCAGTAATCAGGATAAATGGGCTGTCTAGTTCTGGATATGCTAAAACATGTGGCCCAACTAAATTTTATATTAATGACAAATGCTTGGCCATAGTTTCATTCCATCTCAATTGCATTTCACCTTTAATGTGAATGGACAAGTGTTGCAGCATTGGGTGAATTGGCCAAAAAATGTCAGTATGTAATGAAAAACCTAGGAAAATGTGGATCTCTTGTTTTGCCATGGGTTGGAAATAGACTTTGATCAGTGTAATCTTTACAGAATCAGTACGCAATTGTCCATACCTACAATGTAATAAATAGATTCCATTCAACAGCAGACTGAAAAATGCGTTCAAACCACAAGGCATTGTATATTCATAATTCCTGCTACCACTAGAAATGGCCAAAGAACTTTCTGACAGCTGTATGATTCCATCCTTCATCATATCAGTCCAGAAAAGCTAGGATGATGATTGTTTGTTGTCAAATTGTATATACGGTTTTATTTAGTTGTATTTTTCCTAAACACGGTGAACCAACACTGTTTGGCCACTTTATTAAGATCTATACCTAATAGTTGGGTCGCCTTTTGCCCGAATACAAACTCAGATACAACGTGGCATTGGTACTAGAAAATGTACCCCATTCAATCATTAATATTGTACGTAATTCATGGAGATAATCGTGAAGGCGAATGTGTCTTTCAAGTTCATTCCACAGATGCACAACTGAATTAAGATCCAGAGATTGTGGTGGGCATACGATATGTATGAAATCTCCGTCATGTTCCTAGAATTGTGCATGGACTATTTTGAGTACAGTGGATGGAAGCTTTATCGTCTTGGAAGTAGCTATCCTCATCATAGTACACATGGAGCATAGCACTAGATGCAATTAATCAGAAATCATGCTGAGGTAAGCTGTGGCATTCTTTTTTCCTTCTAAAGAGACCCAGGGTATACCAGGAAAACGTGCCCCAAAGCATGACTCCACCACCAGAGTGGAACCACACAAGAGAAGCGAGTTCTTTTTGTGGCTTTTCCCAAATCTGTCTTCTCACGCCTACATTAAAAGGGTAATGCATGATTCACTGGACCACATCAATTTTTACCCTGGAAAAGGGCAAATAAAAAACAACACTAGGCTTCTTGTAGTGGTGAACTGTGTATTCTATAGGATTTGAAGTAATACTGATACTAGTAATTTATTCTACTGACAATGGTTGTTTCACATTGACTTGAATTTGATGATATACAGTGTCTCTGATAATACACTTAGATGTTTGCATTACTGCATGTGCATTCAGTAACATAAAACTGTTTTGCCTCAGTTCATTTATTCAGAAATATAACATATTTCTAACATTTACTGCATTGTTATTGTATCACGTGCAACAATTAATTACATGCGTTAATGCTTTTGGAATTCACATGAAAAAAACTAGAATACACACTTCTCTCTCTTTTTGAATTGTAATACCTTGCTTACTCTCTGGGTTGGAAAACAAATACAAACATGTTATAAGTTCTTTTGATTTGGGCATCTTACTGTATTAACATTAGAGCTATTAAATTAGTTACAAATAAAAAAAGTTCAACAGTTTAGCCAGACATATTTAACTATTGGATTAAACGTATAAAAATAAAACAAAGGTAATAATTAATGAGAAATCTATTCATATTTTATTACTGGTAAGATTAATAAACACTGTTTTATTTATTTTTACCTCTATCTATATAGTATGTTTGATTTATCTTAAGTTTGAATTACGTGATGGTATTCTGAATAAGAAATTCTTCTGGGTTAAATATTTGTGCAAGATCTCATGAGAGGCACACACACATACTTTCTACAGTAATTTACTGCAAACTTCTGTTATTTACTCAAAATATGTCTTATAATATGTAACTATTATTATTTCAAAAACTATGACCTATTTTTTTTTTCATTTATGTAGTCAAATGTACATTTGCATTTCCTTCAGCTTTCTTTTTTTAAACCACATATGATTTAGTGATAAAAACATTGTCTACAATGAATAAACACAATTTTTTTGGCTATTTTTTGTATGACTTTAGAAGACATACACAATTTTGTATTTCATAGATCAATTAAACACAGTAGATGAATCTATCACGATTGTTCTAATGAAGCATTTACATTATAAATCAACGAAGCCTTGCATTAACTATTAAGACACAAATAAAATGTCTTTTCCATTTTTCTTTGTATGAGAAAATCCATTTAAAAACTCTAAATGTTCCCTCTAAAACTAACTGTAAGCACCTCATAATTTAATAAATGTTGTTAGACTAGTATAATTTCAGTACAATGGTAACCGTATTTCATAGACCCTAATTATGTTGTATGCATTAACCACTTAATGCTAGTTACATGAGTATCTCATTTTATTGCATTACTTTCTAATAATATTCATTTTCAGGTAAAAATTGTTTATATAAATTTCAATATTTCATAAGTCATATGACACCTATATATTTACTTTTTATTCTTTTCCATTCAGGTCTTGGAGGTTTAAAAGAATATGAAAGTACTGTTAGTGGAACACTGACCAAACATTAATAAAATTGAATCACTAGAAATATTATCAGAAGAAAAAAACACAATACTGAGCATACTGTGAGCATTTTGTACCTATCACAACAAATATATGCTTAAGGGTATAATATCACAATAGTATAAACAGCTATTATTGTAAGATTCAAATATTTAACGAAAAATGGAAAGATATGCTTGTCAACCACTTTACAGTCATTCTAAATACTACAAAATGCTTAGTGCAAACTAGAATACTTTACTTTCTGTGATAAAATATTTAACTTAAGTGACTAATGCCAACTAGAGGCAAAATAATCAAAACTCAGTATCTGCAACAAACCTAAATTTCTTAATTTTTAAGTCCTCCCTAAAAACTTTATAAATAGCTCTAAAATACAAAAACTTATTCTGTTTCAAGTCATCTTCAGATGTAAATAACTGGTGGTTTCATGGTTGAGCAAAAAATAATTTTGATAAGTTTTGTATTTGATAATAAAATTTCAGAAACCACATGGTTTAAAGTTAAGAGATCATTATTAGCATTTACATCTTAAATGTAATCATATAAGTATGAGTTACTATGTTTCCCTAATTTTTCCTGAAATATCTTTGGAAATTTATCTCAAATTCATCGAAATAGTCCTCAAAAAATTTTTTGGGGCTGGGAAAATCTGACAACAGTTATGCCTAACTAGTATTTAAGAATCACAAAACTCCCCCTGATAATTCCTCAAGCAACATTTCTTACAACCTTTGATAAAATGTACAATTATTATCCACGGACATAGAAATAGTTTGTTCTGCACATAATGGGCAAGAGTTACAAATACAAGTGTATTAAGGCACTTCTCCTAAGTATTTAAAAAAACTTGAATATACTTGAAAAATGTTTAAAAACAATTTAAGTTGAAAACTGTTTGTTGGTTTGAAGTTAAGCACAAAGCTACACACTGGGCTATCTGTGTTCTGCCCACTATGAGTATCAAAATACGGTTTCTAGTATTGTGAGACTGCAGACATACCACTGCGTCACTGGGGGGCAAGTTGAAAATAAACACTGTTTTGAGTAATTTGTTTTAAAACTAACAATAATAGCAAGGGTACATAACTGATGAAACAATACATTCTAATCTTTATAAGTGATAATGTAAGAAAAGTATATCTAATTAGCTGCATGGATTGATTTTCAGTCTTGAACTAAGTAGGTAGCTTGCTATGATTAGAAGTTAATATAAAATATTAATACCTAGTATCCAATACTATGCAAGTACCTTACGTTACACATGATTTGAATATATTTAAAACAAAAATTGTAAATGTAGTTTCAGTAGGTATTTGGATTTTAAGAAGCAAATGCGGTCATTTTTCAAATTTTCATGACATAAAGTAGGTAAGTCATGGTCTCATATATTTATATTTATTAAACATTTATATTGAACCAATATATATATATATCTGTGCAAGCATTTACATAATGAAAATGTTTTCACAAGTAAATTTCTAGCATAAAAAAAAACAGAGAAAGTAAACTAAAAGAAAACTTAATTAAAATGCTATCTGTAAATTAATATTTTTCTTATTTAAAATTTCATTAATACTTCATGTATATTTGTTACAAATGTGAATAAAAAAAAAGGTTTTCAACAAGTAAATCACAGTTCTTATACTCAAAACAAATAATTTTTCTGTAAAAACTATCTTTACCCCTTGTATATTTTACAGAAGTTTATAATAAAGAAAACTATAAGAAAAAATAATTAGAGAAGCTTAAACTTAAAATTGTACCCTTTATAGCCAATCAGTACTTTGAAATTTTTTTCAGTTTTTATTCCTACCAATTAGAAAAAGCAACAAAAATCATGTCTTAATTTACATAATATAGTTATACAAAACATTTTAAGTTTACTGAGTAATTCACAATTCTTTTTTCTTGAGTACCTCAACAATAAGTTGCATTATCCTTTCTGTAATGCCAAGTTTGTACAAGTTAATGTTACTAAAGTCAGTGAAAATCTTGACCTAAAGATCTTACACAATAAATTAAACATGTTAAGACTAACTTATCTCTACCTTTATGTAAACTAATTGCAAAAAAACAAAATGTGCAACTTCAGTCATTGTTATTAAGGAATTGGCTCCACTATATAAAAGTCACAATTTAAAATCCAACTGGAAGTCAAACAATTTTGAATTTGTTCTAAAACAACCAGTATAGAGAGTTGAGTACATTGTATTAAAACAACTTAGCATAAATTTAGAATAAGCAAATCAGTACATCAGGTGACAATCATAGCTCGTTTAAATTCTGAAAGTTTCTGTCATTTTATAGATAGTGTGATGTCACCTAAAACTAATCGTTTTTGGGAAAGGTAATTACCAGCCCTTCTCAAAATCACTTTAATACAACAGACTCAATCTCTGTAGTATGTAATTAAACTGATTTAAATTTGTTAATTTTTATACATGACCTGGTTTAACCTGGAGATACACACATTTAGATTTATTACTTTTGTTGAATGTTCTAGTTTAATTACATTTTTTTTACTTCTAGTATGTGCCCTGTTTTAACCAAAAAAAAACACACAAAAAACAACGAATTTGTTACTTATAATGCGTGTCTTAGACCAGGAGTAAAATAAGTTTGTCTGTTACTTTGGACATGTGTTTTAGTTTAACATTACTTATCTTTTATGTGTGACCTACTTTAATTGGAAATCAGCAGATTTTTGTTAGTTCTGTTGTATGTTTTAGTTTTTACAGAAGCAAAAAAAATGTGGATTCCTTACTTCTCATATGTCCTGCTTTAATCAAAAGCCACAATGATTTGTATATGCTATTTTTGGATGTATGATTTGGTTTATATTCAAGAGTCAAACAGATTGGGACTCACTACACTTGTATTATTTCTGTAACCAAAACACTTATACGTGCAACAGCCAGGTAAATTTACTTTGACCAGATAGTTACAGAACATTATTGCATACATTAATTTTTGAACATGTTTTAGATGATTTCACTCTTTGATCTTATGTGGACAAAAATTCAGTAAAGAGAGCTTTTTCATGACAAAATATTTTCTTAAGTCAATAAAAATATATCTTCAGTAACACATAAACTATCATTAGCTGCATTACCTTTGTTAATCTTAAAAGTGTTAAAAGGTTATTGGTCTTGTGTTCATTTCATCAAAAAATATTAACTATGGCTGAATCAGAAAAATAATAAGTTTTTCTATTAACATACTTTAAAATGCATTTATCTTACAAAATTAAAACTCTAGATCGTCATTTCAAATGTGAAGGGACAAAAAAAACATTGAATGTATAGCACATCAACATTTTAAAGTGTAATTATCACTTATTCAGTTCAAAAATATGTTACAAATTTCTAAATTTCAATCAACTAACAAGAATTCTTTAACATTGAAATACTTTTTTTTATTATAAAGAATAGTTCTTAATGATGTTAGAAAATAGATAAAGCTATTGTATTTCAATGGCTCTAAAGTACATGTATTTAAATGAAAGCAAGTTGTCAAATCCATAAAAATTACTGCATACACATATAAAACAATGTATGTGAGAATCTCCCCAATTATTCACATACAATTTTGAAGAGTACCCCAACTAATTTTATGATAAGTAAATACAGAGAATAGCACAGTCATAGAGAAATATACTAAAAGTATCTGGAACATTTTACTTTCATTAAACACCTGTCGTCTTCTAAGTTAATATTTTCCATAATTAAAAATGCATTTTTAGTTGATACTCACCTCCATACACAGAAAGCTATTTTTCTCTTGAAGTTGCACTAATCTGCCTGAAAGACTTGCATGCCACCAGCCTTGTGAAACCTCCCATATATAATTCACATGAAATGTGTGAATATGTGCTACTGCATGAGGAAATATCATGTAGTAAAACCCTCCACCAATAGGAGTGCAACACACCTCATGTGCAAATTGTCCCTCTACATTCATGTATGAAAAATCTTCATTCTTTGATGAGGCAACTAATAAAGGTGGGAAACATGTAAGGCGATGAGTATGTATCGTAAACACATTCTTAATTAAGGAAAATGTTAACTTCCGATACAATCACTCACCTCTGTACACAGAAAGCTTGAGATAATGGATGGATGAGTGTGAGATTTATTTAGATGAGCTCCCTTCAGCAAGAATCCAAAAAAAGTCCATGGGATGTGGCACACTATGGCAGGGGCTCCGCAGGGGAACATTTGGGGAAGACCGCATCTCATCTCACTTAGGTTATACTTTTTGCCTGTGATTATGAATAGAAGAGGTGAGAGCCCTGAATCATGGATGGGCATCCAAGTACTCACACAGAAGTCGTTGAACAGCCAATATGTGTAGTAAAGTGGGAGTCAATTAGACTGCATCTTGTGTGCACAACTCCTCAACCATCAGTCTCTACAGGTCAAAACCAGCTGTGTGAGTATAGTCACTTGTTATAAGTAGCCATGTTTAGCACCTCTACCATCAGACAGTACAGGCCCTGTGCCATTCATGGGAGGAAGACACCATATTGGACATAATTAGTATGGATACTAATATAACCACTACTTTACCATCAGAATCTATAGGCCTTTTGCCTGCTACTAGAGTAGGTTGTGTGAGTGATACAACACAAACGGATATTAAATAATACCATCTACTTTTCCATCAGATACAAAAAGGTTCATGCCATTGCAGGAGTAGGAAAAATTAAAAATAGAGATATATATGAGATTGTGATAGTGATGTGTCCAAGTTCCACTTGGAGATTTTGATGTATCAATATGAAGTGGGGTGATCTGCACTACACTCCAGAAACACCTCTGCCCTACTTCTCACCACAGAGAAGTTCTAGCTCCTGGTGTTGAGGATTCTCCATGGTCCACCATCTTAGTAGTTGGGATCTGGTAAGTGGTAAGGGTCTCCTCTGCTCTTGAAAGGGGGAAGAATTCGAGTAGAGGAGGCCTGGAGAATGTGCTCAGATCCCCATTGGGTGCCTGAGGAAAGGTCTTTTCCTGGAGACAGTGCAATAGGTAAACCTCTTTTTAAAAGACAGCAAGTGCTACCCAGCGAAGTGGGCAGATGCACTATTCTAGTGCTGGCTTTTCCCACAATAGTTCTTGGAATGGGTACAGTCTGGATCAAACTAGAATATTATATAGTATCACCCACGAGTGAAACTCCAGTGGTCTTGCAGAACATCCCATCTCAGAGAGGGCACTGATCCAGCCAGAGTGGATGGTATGAAAACGTTTTGATGCAGATTTTGGTTAAATATATCTTAGGAAGTAACACTAGCCACCTAGTGGTATACAAAATTAGAAGAAAGATAAGGAAGGAATAAGTAAACAAACACATTAGCTTGTTAAAGGTTTAGGGTTGACTGAAGAATGGCAATTGGTAGAAGTCTGTATGTGTCTGAAAATAAGACAGCCAGATGGTAAACATATTGGGTGAGAAATGTGTGTAGGGTTGTCCACAAGCCAGCCTGAAGAATCTACTCCAGTGGTCAATGATAGTGAGCTGCCAGAGAATGTGTCAGGTGACAAATCTAGTAAGAGGAGACTCAAAATAATTATCAACAAACACCCCCAAGGAAGAGTTAATAATTAGGATGAGTTAGCAGATCCATCTGTTAAGGGTAGAGAGAGAAAGGTCTCTGTTGGAGGAAGAGTCCAAAGGAATGAAAAGATGCTGTCGGAAACCATTAAAGGAAGGGGTATGGGAGAGATAACAATGAATGGCCTGGACAGGACAAAGGAGTCAGAACATCATAGGTATGAGAGATAGAGGGATGGAAAATAGGAGAAAATGTGGAGCCACCTTCCCTAGCAGCCAAAGTTTTAGATTCCCAGCCTTTTTGGGGACAATGAAAAGGTTAGAATAATAACCTGGAGTACAGTCTTGAATTCTTTCTATAACTTGCTTTTCCAAAAGGTTAGACTGTACCATCCAGATGTTGGAGATAGGCTGGATCTGAGGAGTCATGAAAGATGAGGGGTTAGGAATGAAGAGGATGGTAGGGAGGAAAAGTGGAGGGCAAGACTATGGTTCAGGACTTGAATGATTCATTTGTCTGCAGCTAAATGAGAATACAAGTGAGCGAATTGATACAGGCAGGCTCTCACAGAGCCTGAACTGATTAGATGGTCACTAACAGATAGGATAATGGGTGGAAGGATAATAGGAGGAGGTGGAAGGCTGGGATACTGGAACAGAACATGAATGAGAAGGTGGGTGAGGTCAAAAGACAGAAGTGGAAGAATGAGATTGGGACAAATGCAAGAATAAAGATGAAAAGGAAGATTGTTTGCAGGCAGCTTCAGCTCGAGATTCCAGAGAATCAGATACTCCATCAAAGACCTTCTGATTGAGAAAGGGGGCAAAACGAAGGTCACATAGGAAGAAGGAGGGTAAACAGACATGGGAAAGAAGGGAATCTCTACCCAAGAGATTCCTACAGCATAAGAACCATGTGAAAAGAGAAAGGGTACAGGAGGTTGAGTCTGTAAGAGAAGAGAAAATGGGGGATCAAGTGTCTCCTGTAAATTCATCAGGGAAACAGTGAATAGAAGAGAGGTAACAAAGGAGAGTAGTAAGGAAAACACAAAAGGTAAATTTGTCACTGGATAGGAAAACAGGCACTAAAGAGTCCACCCTCCAGACTGGCAAAAGAGACTCCAAGGACTGGGTGTTCAGGAAAGGAGAGTGACTGTAAGAAAATAGGAAGGAATCTATCAAACATGGAGGACATTGCATGATATAGAAGAATGAAGTTGTTCTTGAAATGTGAAGAAATCATGTAGTGAAGGGTTGTGTAAGAGAGGTAAGGATAGAGGCATAATATAAGTAATGGGGGGATGTGAAAGAATGGTACTTACCTGGTTGATAAGTTCTTGGAAGCCTGAAGAGGTCTAAACTTGTTCTTCTGAAGGCATGGAGGTACACAAGGTACAGCTATGAGATAGAAAAAGTCACTCCATTTCATCCTTCTCAACTTCAGTCTCAAAATCCTGGGAAGGGATTTGTGTGACAGAAATAAAAAAGATTCCTGATGGTAACATGGACCCCACCACATGCTGGATGATGGCTTTTACATCTTCCACAGACAAAGTACTTCCTGAATTGTTTGGAAATTGGTCATTGTGTGCATTATTTTCATTTACATCATTAGAAAAAAGAATTCATGTTAAACTGTGAATTTATAATGTATATAAGTTGAAGACAACAAAGAAAATTTGTTGATGTGAAAAACTTTGACAAGTCTCTGTAATGAGAAACACGTCTTAACATGACTGTGCTAAGTAAAAGAATGAGGATTTTTTGCATGTAGAGGGAGTACTTGTAAAAAAAGATGTGTCACATTCCTATTAGTGGAGGATTTTGCTACATGATATGTCATCATGCAGTAGCACAAATTCACATTTCACATGAATTTTAGGTGGGAGTTTTCACATGTCTGGTAGCAGGCAAGCCTCTCAGACAGATTAGAGCAATTTCATAATGAAAATAGCTTTCTGTATAAAGAGATGAGTCATCATACCAGAATAACCTCTTATAATTACATTAAACATTTTTCTACTAGCTGAGACATCAGTTAAAAACTTACTGTGTCAATTTTACATTTACTAATGTATGAGCAAATTATAAATACTAGTGAGAAAGAAAAGACCACACCATGATGATATTTATGTGAACAGTGGTATACTGATGCTGAAGCAAACTGGAGTGCCATTTCTGTACTTTTTATTTTTGAGTGTTTGTGATTAAAATAGGTACATGTAATTGTAAAAAAAAAACTTACATTGTAGATATAGTATTTTATATAATTAAATTTACATGTTTTAAATGCTGTATAATTTACAGATAATACATTCATATGGCTGAATTGGTTATATAAACTTAAATTATAGGCTTTTGGTAATCATACACAAATAAAATATCTGAAATGTGGCCTACATAATTAAAAAAAAACTATTAGGATTCACTTGACACTGTAGCACAAACTTTTTTACCACTACAGCACCATTTACAAAATTTGGTGTATGTATGTATGACAATGCCAAAACATCTGGCTTTTTAAAAATGTTGAAAAGCCACTCATGAACAACTTGTATTTATATTAAATAGAGAAGTCACACTCCCTATATTCTTATATCTTATTAAATAATTTAATTTCAAATCTTAAAAGATAAATATGAATATTGTGAAGCTTGTTTATGGTAAAAATAAGTGTTTTAATCTGGTAATAGCTGCTCAAATTACTAAATATTCACTAGACGTTTTATCTTAGAAAAACAATAAGACAAGGAAGTAGAAAACGTCTAGCCAAATATATGAAACACTGTTTTTAGTAACTTAAGAAAATAAATAACAGATTTAAAGTCTCAGAGAGGTTTTCCAAAGTGGATAGAAGTTTCACATAAGATAAAACTTAAAAATATAGCAATGTTTCTGTACATTGAACAAAATGATGATGGTCAGAAAGACTGATTTAAAAGTAACATGGAATGCACTTTGATGTCTGACCAGGCAATAATCAGTATCAGGATGTGGAGGTGGAGATGGAAGGAGTGTCCTCTTCGTAGGCATTTCCATTTACCACATATGATGTTCCTAGTCCATATAAATGACCACAGTACTTGGCATCATCAATATTGTCTTCAAAGAACATCTGTAAAATAAAACTATGGTTTTAAAATATCAACACTGACAAATATTCATCTTTTCTCTTTATATAGTCACTTAAAAAGTCAATGAATCCTGAAAGACTTCCAACTATAGGAAGTCAAATAATCAACAAAAAATGCATTACACTAAGCTACAAGATCTTACACACACACAGAAAAAGTATGTTACTTAAAATGGCTTTTAGTACTCTCAAGAATGTGTATTGACCTACATTTACTAAAAGTATTCAGTACAAAAAGACCAATACAGTCTTACGTTTTTTTTCTTTTTGGGATGCATTTTAATTTTGCTTACAAATTTTTTTGGTGAAATATTTAATAAATTTTTATAATATTCGCAGTTCCAGTTGATAAACAGTGCATGAAATGTTGCATAAAACTGAAATGCAAGTTAGCAAGCCTGTAGTAAATGATAAGAAAAACTTTATACCAACATTTCAGTACTTATACATTTCAGCTTCATCAAAGAACATTATGGTGTCCTCAATTACAGACAAATTAAAACAATCACTATGCAGAATAGATGTATCTAAACACAACAATTATTGATTGTCGATAAACATACAATAATTAAATAACTAGAATACTAGTGCTATTAAACATAATAGTCCATAAAAGTACAGGATTAATACTCAGAAAGGGTAGATACATATGAATATACATATATATGCATCTATATTTCTGTTCAGTCAACATGGCATCCTCAACATTAATTTGTGAGTGTGTATAAGCATAAATATATATATATATATATATATATACGTAACCAAACAACATTTAATTATGGAAATAGTGATGCAAAAAGAGTATATAAGGCAAACAGTATGGAAATGCTACTTCATTATCATGTGAAAACAATGAACTACAACACAGTATTGTCATGTGTTTAGAGTTTACATTGTCACTGGTTATCATAAAAGTATGGACAGTTATGTCTAGTAGTAGTACTGTGCCTAGTCATGCCGCATTACAACAAGACTATGTTTTCAACTGTACAGATATACTGCCAGAGCAGTGTTTCAAAAAACCTCATCTCAACACTGGGCACTGAACACATGGGTTTAACGCTTTCCACAGATTTCTGATAAGTATTTTCTGTGAGGCAACATCAGTCACTCAATGGATTCTGATGGCATTAAGCATAAAAAGCATAGGGTGTAGTTCCTCATGTAACATTTGAAACTTGTAGTCTTGTCTCCTCCTGTTTGGTGTGTTTTCTTTTTTTTTGTGTGTTTATTTTACTTGAGGAACTCACAATTAGCTGGAATGTGTACAAAGACTATAGTATACACAAAAAGGTGTCATGAAATGCAACAATGACATGGAGATGACTGAAAAACACAACAGGCAAAACTCCCCACACTAGAGCCCCTAGGTAGACTGTAAAATGGCAATGGAGGAAGGTGAATCCAGAAAAATATGAAATTGCACAATGATGCAAGTAATGTGAAATTAATGTGTTAGGTGTAATCTACATACCAGCCTGTAAGATATCAGGGTTCATAAACAGTTAGAGAGATAAAATTCCAAGACTTTTCCATAACATTGAAATAAATTCCCATGACTTGCGTACCATGTTTTTTTACTGATCAGATGACTATTTTATATTGTATTCTCAGAAAATAACCATATTATAACAGTTATTCTAAAAGAGACCATAAAAAAATATCCATTTGGCAATGTGCATCAAAATGTCTAGCTCTTGTAGCTGACATCAAGAGCTTTTGTCATCTCATCATTTTTAACTCCTCTAACAGCTTTAACATGATCAATAATGACCCTCTGTGCCACGTGATTGCTCTGAGAGATTCCCACAACCAATTCTTTATTTATGGAGAACCCTCTCTCAAAACAAGCTTGACCATGTGAAAAAAAAGCAAGACTTTCACTATGCCCCACAATGTTTTATAGATTGGCTTTAAGCCCAAATATTCATACAGAAAAGTGTCAAGCATATAGAACATCAGGTCAAAATCTTGGAAACCATCAATATATACTCAACAGTCACAAAACTCCCTGTACTCCCTCTGCACATCATCACACACTCTTTGGTGTGGTTTGCAGAAACAAGTACACACACAAGACTTTCTTTATTTTCTACATACATGCTTCCTTGTTTACCATTATCAATTATGGATCAAAGCACTACATGTTTCAGACAAAGGGATATTTGACATGAGTCTTCTTCAAGAATTTATCAACTGGTGTTACCAAAAAACCATTTGCAAGCAACTTTTAATTACAATAGTTGTTTGTCTGTAACCTTTTGAGTAATGTTAAGCTGACCAATAGCTACTCCTGTTGAAAATCCAATGTCAACCTTGGAGTAGTCCTTGTGGTAAGTCTTTTTTGTGAAGGCAGTATTAAGGAGCTTCATTGCTGAAGTTATTTCTTTTTAAATTGTCTTCTTTTAGGAAGCTTTCCGTGAAACTTTAAAATAATAATAAAAAATATAATACTATTATAATAATCATAAATGTGAACCAAAAACATAACAACTACATTTTGAATAAAAGTATGTTTTTTATATTGCTTTCTTATATGACTTTTTAGAAAGTAAAAATATTTACTTTTCAAGTAACTAAATTTCTTTGTATGGTGAGAGCAGTTAATCTTTCACTTTCAGATCTACTTAAGCACAACTTTGTACAACATATAGCTGTCACTTTATAATACACCAGGTAAAACCATTAACTTTTTTAGATTGGTATGTGAATGTTATTATTAACTCTATGCATAGAAGCTCGATCATTTTGACAGAGCTCGTAACCACTACATAACCATGAAACTATATGTACTATAATTCTGAATTTTCTATGTGTATCTTCATGAAATTTGGCAAGCTCTTAGTAAACATAAGTCTTATGTATACAAAAATTGTAGGAAACAGAAACTAGGAAGTAGCTGCCAATACGGTGCTATCAACAGAACCCAACAGTGGATTGTAACAAATCACAGTCAGTACCTTGGGTAACATATGACTTGGAGGGAAGTCCTAGAGTTGTAATCTTGTCCCATCCTGACAGAATACATCCACTGCCAAAGCCCGAAGGTGAGGTACTGGAAACCAAATTCAATGAGTGGCCAACCCATCAATCATCAGTATTTAAAAATGAGAGCCAATCCAACAGAAAACCTTGCGATGCAGCATCTATTATGTTGGGAGAATCACAGTCATCCCCTGTGGAACATAGCAAGCTAGTAGGGCGATATGATAGGAGTGGTCCAGAGAAAGGAGATCCAAAGTTTGAAAACAAGGAGCCCTGTACCAAGTCCCTCCTTAACAGGAAATGCAAGACATCACCGTGGAGTGAAGCCTGACGATGTTCCTCTTAACTCTATTGTGACAGGCATCCTTTACTGAGAATGTCACTAGGTTTTAGTGAATTACTTTCAAAATTTCATTAAGCTTCTTTTTGTTTACGTTATACCAATTAGTATAGCATAAAATCTTAGTTAATAATCCATATTTTAACCCTTTCAATACAGGTCACGGGTGAAAGGCCATGT